ATATGCCTTTAGATTGCGTCCTTAGTATCTTATGCATTTTGAGTGCCTCCTTGGTACTAGTATCTTATGCCATTTGATTGCCTCCTTGGTATCTTATGTCTTTTGATTGTCTCCTTGGTATCTTATGTCTTTTGATTGTCTCCTTGGTATCTTATGTCTTTTGATTGTCTCCTTGGTATCTTATGTCTTTTGATTGTATCCTTAGTATCGTATGCCTTTTGATTGCCTCCTTAGTATCGTATGCATTTTGATTGCCTCCTTGGTATCTTATGCCTTTAGATTGTCTCTTTGGTATCATATGCCTTTAGATTGCGTCCTTAGTATCTTATGCATTTTGAGTGCCTCCTTGGTACTAGTATCTTATGCCATTTGATTGCCTCCTTGGTATTATGTTTTTTGATTGTCTCCTTGGTATCTTATGTCTTTTGATTGTCTCCTTGGTATCTTATGTCTTTTGATTGTCTCCTTGGTATCTTATGTCTTTTGATTGTCTCCTTAGTATCGTATGCCTTTTGATTGCCTCCTTAGTATCGTATGCATTTTGATTGCCTCCTTGGTATCTTATGCCTTTAGATTGTCTCTTTGGTATCATATGCCTTTAGATTGCGTCCTTAGTATCTTATGCATTTTGAGTGCCTCCTTGGTACTAGTATCTTATGCCATTTGATTGCCTCCTTGGTATTATGTTTTTTGATTGCCTCCTTGGTATGTTATGCCTTTAGATTGCATCCTTTTATGTTATGTCTTTTGATTGCCTCCTTTGTATCTTATGTCTTTTGATTGCCTCCTTTGTATCTTATGTCTTTTGATTGCCTCCTTTGTATCTTATGTCTTTTTTAAACACTTTTGTGTCTGTGTGACCGAGGAAAAAAATCATTCAAATCTGCGTTTTGCTGATATAGGACATTGGACTTTTACCTTTTTAAATTTATATCTCCGAGAGAATCAATAATGTAGGCTTATATTTTTCTGACAGTTTAATTTAATAGTCGTTGTGTTTTGACTAACTTTCTTAAATTTTATTTTATTTATGATATAGTTATATTCACAATATGTTTCTAAAATACATGAAAAGAACAACTTTAAAAGAGAGTCGAAGGATACCAAAGGGACACTCAAACTCATCAGCCGAAAATTAACTGATAATGCCATGCATGGCTAACAGGCAAACAACAGTACATAAAACATAACATAGAAATCCAAAGACTGAGAAACACGAACCCCACCAAAAACTTGGGATTGATCTCATGTGTTCTGGAAGGGTAAACAGATCCTGCTCCACATATGTGGCAACCGTCGTGTTGCTGATGTTAGTACAAACCCGGTGATCAGTCTAAATCGGTAGGTCACATTCGGGGAAAAGGGGGCGGGATTGTTATTACGACAATTGGAACATATCCTTTGTCATCTCTAGAAAAGCTATTATATAACGGTCAACCAACTCGTGATGGCGTCCTTAAAATTTACGAAGGAATGATTTCAACTTCACCACTTGGAACTCTTGGTTTAATAGCTTCCTTGTGAGCAGCAATCCTCTATCAAGGAAAACATGATAGGAAATACAAGCCCTGTAATATCGTATCAGCTGTGAGATATATACTCGGTATGCAGGCGCTGCTGGAATGTTGTTACATACAAATGGAAAGTTTACAATTTGTTTAAAGGGATTAAGGTAATTTACGCAAGGCAGTTCATTTACTGCTTTAATCCGTAAATGTTTTATCGTATGGTGACAATCTTTTCAATGTCCATTTATTTCAGTTCTTGTCCAAGGACATGTGTGATCATGTATACTTATAGTGATATTAATCCGTTTTTTCCATTGTAATCCATTGTCAATCTTAAAGTGCTAATTGTATTCATTGTACAATTTCTCAGTTTTATTGTTACTTAATACTAATTTTTTGGCAACCTGTAAACAGTATCTTTCTTTATAATTTGTTGACCGAAATTTAGTTTTCATTCATCTACGTAACAGCGTTGTTACATAAAAGAGAAACGATACCAAAGGGATATTCAAACCCATATCTCAAAAATTCCTAGTTTTCTAATACTTATATACGTCCTCTCTCCAGCTGATATACAGAAGTACTTATTTTTTCTACATGTATGCTGACATTTAGTTACATAACATAATGCATTTTTGATGTTATATTTCATTTTGACATTTTGGGATGTATAATATACAAACACACACACACACGTTCCGTATTAATTGTTTATTTTTGTCGTAAAATCAGTTCAAAAGTAAGGTCCAAAATAAAAAAAATACCTTTTAAGGATACTAGAACTGGAAAATTATACAAGGAAATGCAAAAATGTTCAGATATGCATACATAGTATATATCTCATTTAGTCGCTTACTAAATTCATTTTGTACTCGGTATTAAAAAACAGTTTATAGGTTTAACGAGAAATACAATATGCTCCATTTCGCAATATGTTTTCAGCCAGAACATGAAAGATATGTAATGTACACATTTTTTAAAAAATTATGAAATCAATCAATAACATTATTCATGTTGTAGCAAATGTAAATAGCGATTCCATTTATACAGGAGAGGATCGACTATTCGTGTATATACACACAACAACTATTTAGGTATGTATAAGATACAATAGAATAGTAAATTAGCAATTATTATCTTGTGTTCAAAATCGTCATACAGCCATATTTGTATGAAGTCGGTCAGTATTATATGATTATATGATGATACTTCAATGATTCCAATAATACACTATACTGTTGATACTAGTCATAGAAACAATAAACGTAAACCTGTGTTGTAACTGACGACATTGTTAAGTCTATACTTCCTTGTCCTGAGTATACAGGATGGAGACGCCGGAGACGGGTTTAAATCCTATGTATACAGGGTAGGGACGCCGTAGATGGTTGAAGTTTTAGATACAAGAGTTGTTCTAAGGGACAGAATCAGTATCGTTTGGAAATAAAGGTGTCTGGGGAGTCCTATCTGGTTAAAGGGGAGCGATGTTCAGCTCTCTTTATCGATTTTCACAAAATTTTAGACAATCTTAATTGGACTCTGAGAACTGATCTCGATGACTTAGTCAGGCCGGATGGATATTCAGTGTAAGTATCTACTGCTGTCCTATTTCACTAGACTGTCATTGCAGTCTCTGTGCACCAATAATTTACTATATAAGATTAAATCTGGTCTTGAATTTTAGTGAATACAATGTGCTGACTTTAGTAGCCAAAATGTTTGCACTTTTAACCATTCCCAATTGGTTCATCCATATTTATGAATATAAAACTCTTCAAAACTTTATTGTTTTTTAGAAAGATTAAATGTCTCGCTTGTAAATACCGAATATTTCGCCCATCTCATAAACGATTTGGTGCAGTAATATGCACAGTAGTTTTTATTTCAGCCTGGATACAATTCGCAGAAAACGTTACAGATTACAATGCTGAAGGAATGAAGTTTCTTCTTCATGTCCAAGTTGATTGGAGACATGTTGTAACAGAAATATATAGATGTAGAGATTATCATCGTCCGCTTACCATATCTACAGAATGGTGTACAGGTTAAGAAACAGTCTAACAATTTTCGTTTATACATTACCAAACTGAAGGAAAGACAATGACTGGCATGTATTTATAACTTAGTTCATATAGTTTTCTTACCTGTGCATTTTATAATTTATCGATGAGCTATATTATTTGAAACTGAAAAATATAAGCTGTATCTATAATTTAAAAAATTAAACTTGATTAAAGAGTTGTGTGAAATTAAGTTTATATAAATATTGTTATGGATCGAAATTGTCACACTACCTCGATGTTTTCTTATTAGCATTTATTCCGTTGAAACTTGACCTCTTAGTTAAATGTAACCGGGTGACTGGCTACTGGATTGACGATGATAACGAGCTGCATCCCACGACCGATTGCAGGTGTTGGCGATGCCAACGATAGACAATGACTATGATCTGGTTACTTGCCTGAGAATACTAGCTTTAACTCCACTGGAAGAATTAGACACAAGTTCTATGCAGTAGTTAACAATTTAATGATTTCAGGATGGAATACATGTAGTTTTACAAATTAGGCGGATGTTGTCAGTTCGAATGTCTGCCTCTCACTGAAGTAAGAACCTCAGAAATCATATTTAAATCAAGAATTTTGCTAGGTTAGAATTTCATAATAGAACGAGATTATCGAATGACTATGAAAAAAAAACATACAATTAGCACTGAAAGGATTAACAAAAGAATATAACAAACATTTGTCGCTTGAGTTTAAGGCTGCATAGCGCTGATTGAAATGACTAAAGGATTAATTATTCTTTACGTAAGAAAACTTAAGAACTATGTAACGCTGTGATTTTATCTATTATTTATCAAAAGTATTATATTGAAACAAATTTCCATCTTTGTGAAAATATACTGACACTTAATTATTACTTATAACACAATTAGCTATATAAAAAATCGTTACATATTAATAAAATTACTTTGACGGACAAATATTGCAAATCAAATGATTTCGATAAAATAATAATAAGTATAACAATATAACGACGTTTTATGACCGAGCAGTTTGTCAGTGAAAGTCCAACAATATCAGACTTAAGAAAACTACTCTTCTTTAAATAGTTCCAAATGAAAATGCACAATTTACAAAATTATCGCTATCACAGAAGCATGAAAAAACGATAATATTCTTTTGCAGCGATGTGAGTTACTAATAACAGCAATAAATATTATTGTATTTACTAATAATAGTACTTTTATTGTGTGGAAACTTCACTCGGATTTCAAACTTGAAATATTCATGATTTAAAGATTAGTGGCTGTGTTGATCGCTTCTTTTAAATTGAGCTTCAAATAATGTATAACCATATATACAGTTATGTCTCCTTCGTGTCTTGATTTATAAAAAGAAATCGATAGTTATGGTCGGTTGACAATTAAACTTGTCAGTCTTCCCATTATTAGTTTTGCATTATGTTGCAACATTAAACTGCACCGGTGCATGGAGTGTATGCCGCTCAATTCATTTCCATTTATCCTGTTGCTTTTGATTTAAAAGTGGATGTTGATACTATGGGAACTCTTTATAATACAGCCCTTCTATTCACAGTGACATAAATATCCCAACTTTTCATTTAAAATCCTTTTAATTCAGAGCTATCGTGCACTCATGTTCAGATCCGTACGATATATAATCCACCCTACCCCGATTCAATCAAGTGTGGATACTAAAACTGTTATCTCCTGTATGAAATGATGCAATACTGTTGTGAATTAAACGGATTTTAATTTAACTTTTATTTTGAATTACAGGTGTGAAAAGACTTTCCATGAAGCTCAAAGGTAAACCTTATATTATACAACTTTTTTGTCAATATAAGCCAATTATGTTGTTTTTGTTTCATTTTAAAAAGACTGCTATATGTTTCATGATATCTGTTGAATGGTCCACATTATTTGTATTACGTTCACTGCCACAGGTAACCATTCTTTCGACTGTGTTCAGGACGAGACAAATTTGTGTATTATGAAAATGAAGATGGGTGTACCAGACTGACACGCCGAACAAAGAATAAGTAACAGTCGACCTGAAAACGTGCTCATTTTTAAGACAACTCGGAATATTAAGATCGATTCAATTCACATGCAGTGAAAATTTAAGCTGTCAGCCTGGCTAAATATTTTTGGGTTAAAGGCTTCTTAATAAAGTGGACCAGTCTAAAAATCTTTTGGTTATTTGTGTCATTTAGTTGTTGAATGACGACATGAACCCCGTATCTTCTTTTATAGATAGAAAGTTTGTGTTACACAAGCGTGTATCTTTTTAAAAAAAAATTTGCACACTTGGTGTGAATTTTGAATTTGATATGATTAGGAACAAAAAGACGTGGTGCATACGTGAATTAAACCATCAGTAAACCAAGAGACATAAAAGTCATGTTTCCCAAAATTATACTATAACTACTACTATTATCTCTTTTTACATAGAGAACATCAATTTGGATTATTTCCTTCCGAAAGTCGGTGGTTCTCTCCGAGCACTCCGCCTTCCTCCACCAATAAAAACTGACCGCCACGAAATAGCACAAATGTGTTGAAAGTGGCGTTAAAACACCAATCAATCATTACACATATTTTCAATTTTGACTCTTTCGTATAAAGGTATATAAACTACATATTTAAAACATAACAAATCTACAAATCGAAAATGTTTAACAATATATCATTATATATAATACATGCACTAAAACATGATAAAAAGCTGTAAATATAACACCATTAAAATATAATGACCTGTAAGGTGCAGTTTTTTCATTCTTTTTTGATTTACAGGAAAACTAATTTTAAAAGTATAATTGTTTGATTGTTTGCTATTTGTGGGCACACTTATACTAGATAGTTTTACTGATTTGCACATGTATAACTGTTGTGATATTATATTCTCCATAAGTCATGCGAACAGTCACATATTTCAGAGTTAATTCAATATTTTGATGAGTCGAGCTTTTTCAACTGAATTTTACAGTTTGTTCTTATATTGTGCTGCTACACCACTGTCCCAGGTTAACACCGCCACAATCTATGTGTGCCTGTCCCAAGTCAGGAGCCTGTTATTCAGTGGTTGACTTCGGTTACTGTATATCATATTTGTTTTTCCTTTATTGTTTTGTTCATAAATCAGGCTGTTGGTTATTTCGTTTAAATTGTTTTTCATTTTGTCATGTCGGGGCCTTTTATAGTTTACCAAACGGTATTGGTTTCGTTCGTTGTTGAAGGCTACATCGGTCATTTGTTCTATTCTAAATAGTTATCTTATTGGCAATAATACCACATCTTCTTATATATCTTTATTAAATCTATAGATGTTTTTTTTTCAAATATCGTGTTCCTTTTACATAATTCAGGCTGTCCTTTTTTGCACTTCTAGTTAACTGTGACAAACGTTTCTTCTTTTCTAATTACAAAGAACAGATATTATATCTATCTGGTACTTTAGTGAAGTGCTCGAAAATTAACTATCAGGAAGAACCAAAATAATGGTAATAAAGGTTCAAATCCTGCGGATATACCAGTAAATTAAGGGGTAACAAGAGGGGTCTTCTTTGGGACCTCCGCTTTTTTTAATTGGTACATAATAACAATGAAAGAACGCCGTGATATAAAAGTTTCGGTTTCCCTTATTTACATTATTAAACAAAGTTTCACAATTTGACAGATCATGCTTTAAAGTTATATGTGTATGGCGTTATTTTAAGGACACTGTTACAAAGCCATATTGCTTGTTTCTTTTACAGTATATGATCGTATATTGCATAATTTAGATTATTTAATAGAATATTGTATGAATTAAACAGCTTATGCGTCGTTATCATTTAGGCATGACAAACCTTTTTGAAACAATTTAATAGAGTTTTAGAACATTGCTTATGCAGTATTAATCCGTTAATTTTGAATTCGCTTGAGACTGGTCATAGAATCCAGACCTTCTTCCAAATAGTAGACCCTGTCTCCTTAAACAGTTTATAATTTTATTGTATTACACCCAGGCATTTATGACAGCTGACTGCTTAAAAAAAAAACTGAAACAGAGAAAGTGATTATGCATTTTTTTTCAGCTGCAAGTTGGTCGAAGCATATTCTGATGTTGATATTGACGCTTGGACTTTGTGTAGTTATTTTAAACAACTGCAACGAGCAAAATGTTATCTACAGTTTATCAACAAATATTACAACTAATTTTTTTTCTGCTGAACCAAACAAGGGAAATGCAATTCCAAGGCCACCCAAGAAGTATGTTACAGTAGAATTTTTAGGGCGACTCGGAAACTTACTGTTTGAATATGCATCACTTTATGGTATCGCCAAACATCATAACATGACACCTATTGTTGATGAGGGATGTCATTTAAAGAAACATTTCAAAATATCTGCTATTTCAGTTAAACCGTTAGTGAATTTAAAACGTTACGTGGAGAAAAAAGGAAACATGTTTGAGGAAAATGTGTTTAATCTTGATACAAAATATAACTGGACACTCAAAGGCTACTTTCAAAGTTGGATATACTTTGGTGAAAATAGTATTGATATAAGAAGAGAATTCCAGTTTCAAGAAAATGTGCAAACAGAAGCTAATAAACAATTTCAAGAAATGATAAAGTCAAGGAACATTACAAATGTGAACACATATACTTTTATCGCTGTTCATGTTCGTCGTGGTGATTTTGTTCAAAATCAACACTTTGTTAATTATGGATATACATCAGCAAATAAAAGCTACATAAATAATGCAATGACAAAATTCCGATCACAATTTTCAAATGCTTTTTTCATATTTTCGTCAGACGATATATCATGGTGCAAAAACCATTTTAACGAATCAAATATAGCATTCATTAACAAGAAAAATTCACCGGAAGTTGACATGGCGATATTGTCTCATTGTAATCATACTATAGTTACCACCGGAAGTTATGGTTGGTGGACTGCATGGCTCATTGGCGGCACAACCATATATTTTAAAGATTTTCCTAGAAAAGGATCAAAACTAGACAACGTATTTAATTCTACTACCTATAATCTACCGCACTGGATTGCAATGTAGAATCTAACTTTGAGCCACTTTTTGGTGTTATACTTGATGCAGCATTGAAGCTGTAAACATGTAAATGAGTGCTTAATATGTGATTGATTTGAATGCAACCAGAGAGCATACATCGTTTATAATCTATCCTTTTTAATACATGATTATGTAAACGTAAATTGTTTTCTTGTATAGCAGCGTAATATTTCCAACAAAGCGTTACAGAAAATTCGCGTACACTATTCTATGATATTGCACTAGTGCAAATATAGCATATTTTTCAACTTCAAATTATCCACGTCATCCGTGAGTACTTTACTATACAATAAAAGGGTTATTGCATGAATATTGGTGAATATGGTCCCTTGTAGAATATATTCTTGCAAGCTCGTGCAATATAAAATCTACATGCAATGACCCTTCTATTATTGCTCTATGTTAATTTAATACCCCTTTTCTTACATTTGTCACAGGATTGTTTTGATCATGCTTTGCATTTAAAAAGACGTCAACGAAACAACATTACAACAAAACAACACAATTTAACCAAAAGAAAGAAACATCTAGTACGTATCGCTTATTAATCTGTAACGATGTTAACCAACATTTTATGCATGTTCAAGAACAAATAAACAATTAATACAATAGGTAGGTACTGTAATAAAGGCCGTCTCGGATGAATGTTGTGGAAATTTGGACTGCCACTGCTACATTGGTTAGGGTAAGAAATTTTGCCTATCCATAGGCCACCTACGGATCCCACAAAGAGTTGTTGCAAGGGTTCTTAATGTGTGTCACTCTCTTTCCAAGAGGCATCGGATTTAACGTCCCCATTCTGACCGGACGAGGCTGCGTACATCCCGCACAGACACACGGTCTCCTCGCTTTGGCAAGGGTTTTACTGCCGGTCGGAAGAAGACCAACGTGACCAATCATCCTTGGGAGTTCATAAATAAGATGTTTATGATGAAAAGTAATTTAAATGGTCTTTCGAATAAATTCATGTGCATAATTTAATTTCATCATTTGATTAAACAGTGTTGACGTATAACGGCTAGTTAACTTTGGATAACCTTTACAGACTATTTTGAATTCAAGTCTGTCGTCAAAATTGAGGCAATCGACGCCTTGATTACAAATAATAAAAGTACTGACATGCTGTTTACTCAGATATACCCAAGATCTGATGGCTGGGAAATAAATAAAAAAAAAAAAAAAAACCTACCTCCATATAGACGACTAGCAGTTGCTTTTTCAAGTCAAATATCAAACATTTCAGCTACATTTAAGACGTTAACATACTAGTATTTAACATGTAAATGTAATCAATTGTCTAGGTTCTTTGGGCATGGAGGGTCAAAAGGGATAATAAAAAGATAAAAATGTGTTTTGCACTGTCTGAAGACTGGATAATATATTTAATGAATGCAGACACCCTTTCCATTACAAGACTGGAGAAGTTTATGGGATTATAATTCTATACTCATGTGACTCTTGTTTGTGTAAACAGTATACGTATGTCGCCCTTTTCCTAAAAACTTCATAGCGTAGACCTTTGTTCTTTAATTGGTTAGTTTTGAATATTTCTAATTTACTCACTGTTTTTTATTTATGCAATGACCCCACCAATGCATAACATATTAAATTCATGTAATTTCTACCATCTATAGAGTAGCAATTGTTTTATATGTCTTTTCAAGTTGTTCAAACGGAAGAGGTAAATTACAGAAGCTTAGTTTAATCAGTAGTAGATCAAGGAACTATTAAAAGGGGGTTTGGTTACATGTCAGTTAGTGGAGGAGGAAGGAGCCAAACATTCTATTATACTAAATACTAATATTTAAGATATGAATAAGGAGATAATTAGTTCAAAGACGGCGGGTCGGTAACCTAACATCAAAGATTGACATGCATAGACATCTATATTGACTACTTGCGATATTGAAAATTTAAAGTCTATGGGAAATATCGTTTGGTTTGCTTGAATTTAGAAACTGAATTAAGTGCCTGCTAGACTTCAAGGACGTTGAAGCAAGGGGCAAAACTGAATTACTTCTAGACTATTTGACTATAGAAAAGTTTGTTTTTTTTTATTTCCACTTTTAGACCCCCCCCCCCCACACACACACATACACAAACACATGCAGTTACCTACTACAGCGATCCCTACCACATATCATATAGAAAATGCCCCCTCCCCAGAGTATAGACCTAGCATATCATGACTCGAAAACCTAAAACTGTTTTGGTGTTTAGCAAAATGGGCTTTCTTCCTGGCAAAATACAAAAGTAATATTTCCCAAGGTCAGCAACTGAAAGCATAAAGAAATGCATCTAGTTTGACCATCCAAATGCATCATTGTCATTCTTAAATTGTCTGCATGATAGTAACCATTTCCGAATGTGAGCGTTTAAATAGTGAGATCATGTTCCTGAAATGGATTAGCACTGGTGAACGTGTATTATGTATATACACTTATACCTTGATATGATAGTTTACACTTTTCGGGCATCATCATGATGTGATATGCTCAGAGTATAAACCCTGCTTTGTACTGAATCGACACACTAAGCATGATTCTTAACGTGCCTTTTCACAAGGAAACAGTCCACAGGAAGACATGTCAGACTACGCAGACACATTATTCTGACTCCGAGTCGACCAGTCTATGCTCTTACTCCTAAATCCAGCGTGCCTAGCGGAGAGGCAGCAAAGACGTATTTCGAAGTCTTCAATTTTACCCAACCGGGGTTCGTATCCACAACCTCCCGCACTCGAGGGGAGCATGCTACAGGGAGAAATTAATATCATTGAAACCAGTCGTGATATAATACAACTCTTGGAAACTGAATTTAAATTTAAAAACATATAGACTTATAATTCAAATTCAAACTTGTATTGCCATATATAAATTTTATTTTCAAATTATCAAAAAAAATGTTTCTCAGCTCCCTATTTAATTCACAATCTAATAAAAAATGTTTTACATCTTCTAATATGTTACATTTAAGGCTGAATCTCTGCTCTCTAGGAATATTAGAATGTCTTCCGTTTTCTATATTTTAATTATGGTCTCTGATTTTTAGTTTTAGTATTAATTTTCTATATGTAAAGTTTGGTTTTAATTCTTAAATAGTCTTAAAAAATAAAATTTTGTGTAAGGTTTTTATATAAATAAAGTTTACTTTTTTCATCATTTTTCTTGCATTTTATTACGAGTCAAATTTTCAAAGTATTTTTAGGGTGATTTTTCAACGGTATTTATTGGTATGCATCTTCAAGATCCAAAGTATTTTAGACCTTCCATAAATCAGTTGTTTTGTGACAATTTGTCTTCAATTAAAAAGATTCATTAGATCTTTCGGCTACATACTATAATGTGTTTATAAACAAGTATATAACATACAAAAATGATTTATGAGAGACTGAATGTTAGTTGTCTATATTGGTACACATTCATATTAATATAACATTTACTATTCATAACTACTTTTATAATTATAGGTCATGTTATCATTGATTAATGATTGATTGATTGTTGGTTGGTTGCTTAACATCCAGTGGCAAATATTTCATTTATGTTTAGGACGAGAACAAATTAAGATAAATACTTTAGGTGGGTCTTGTATTTGAAGCCGTCTGGGATGAAGGTCGGTAAAAAATTGGAACTGTCACTGCAAAATGAGGGTAACTATATTAGATAGGAACAGAAATTTTGCCTTGCAACAGACCACCTAATTACCCCTCAAAGGTCTGTTGCAATGGTTCTTAACGTGCAGAGAGCGTGACACTTTCTTAGCACAAGGCCTCGGATTCTTGAACAAAAATGTTCCTGGTATAGTTACGCATTCACGTGCCGTTAATGATATTTGATTATACATGTAACTATATAAAATGATGAATTCGTGAAATATTGTCTATTTTTAAAATTAGCATTGTGGTATTGGTTTTTTTTTTATATACCCGGTAGATATAAATATTCAACCAAAAAACTTCGTTGTGTTTGACTGAGGTTGATTCTCCACGTACTATATTCAAGGGAGAATGTTTTGGTGGCGCAACATGTGTTTGATATCCTATAGAAGAAAGGGGTTGGGCTAAGTCTTGTTATTTTGGTGAATATTCTAAAATATGACTGTTTTTGTGAGACATTCATTCTAATATAGATATGATCCATTTTATACATATTTTTTTTCCTTGTATTTTTATATACAAGAGAAAAATATTTAAAGCTGACTACATTAATGGTAATCGGCTAAATCTTGCTTGATTTACGTACAAATCAACATACGAAAAACAAATAGCAGTAGTATGATATACAGCAGCAAAAGAAAACCGCTGAACTACAGCGGCTCCGGTGACAGACGCATGCAGAATGTGGTTGGGTCAAACATATTTGCGGACGTATAACACTCCCCTAATCTGGGACAGTGATGTAACAGAACAACACAAGAACAAACTATAAATTTGCTTTATCAATAGACTTGTCAGATTGACAAAAAGCACACTAAATTATATTTTGTTATGTGTATGTTAACAATGGACAACAAAATCAACGTTTTGACCGATAAAAACAATTTTCAAAGATCTTATCACTGTGTTTAATTGATAACCATTCATAATAAGTTTATATAACCCCGTAGGTTCGTGTGGGTTACATTAAAGTATGTTTTGTTGATATTTGACACTTTGGTTGCTTTAAACGCAAGACTATTTTCAATATATAGAGATTTATAAACACATGATTACAGTTCGAAATACAGGGGAAAACTCCTAAGCAACAATTTACAAAATCACTTTTTCGTTCATTCAAAATTAATAGCTGGGTGTTCTTTATAAAATATATACTATTATTGTCCAAACTTATATAATACTAAAACACACCCGGGTCCATGACCAAATTAAAGTACCTATGCCTTATTTTAAGCATGGATATTTAGTTTTCGGATTGTCGTCTGATAAAGTCATGCTTAAGATGCTCAGTTTTCTCTGCTTTCAAAATCTTTCTGTTTGAAACTGGAGTGTCCTGGTTGTCTTACTACAATAAACTTACTATAAACTAAATTTAATTTTTTAACTTATTAACCAAAATTAATAGACTAAGTGGTATTGGTGTGGACGAAAACAGACGTGTTTAATAGTGTACTATAGTGTAACATAGATATAAAACAACCACTGGAAGAATTCCTGGTTCTCCTGGGCCTGGAATGGTGTTACTAGTTTCAAAGCAACACCATTGTCCCATATTAGTTATATATAAAGTTGAATTCTTTGATTCGTCGTTTTTACGTCATGCCGGCTAACAAATTGGACCTCGTTATTTTAGTAGTATAGATAGATTAATCAGATCAAAGTCCTCAGGCCAAACTTCATAAAATAGCAATAATTGCTTCTTTTTGAAGTTGTCGAGTATGATTAGACTGGCTTTCGCATTTTGAAGTGATAAAATTGAGAATGGAAATGGGGAATGTGTCAAAGAGACAACAACCCGACCAAAGAGCAGACAACAGCCGAAGGCCACCAATGGGTCTTCAATGCAGCGAGAAAATCCCGCACCCGGAGGTGGTCCTCAGCTGGCCCCTAAATAAAATTGTGTGCTAGTTCAGTGAAAATGGACGTCACACTAAACTCCAAAACATATAAATGAACTAAAATTAAAAAACATACAAGACTAACAAAGGCCAGAGTCTCCTGACTTGGGACAGGCGCAAAAATGGATGAAGTTGTATATTATTAAAATTTCTAAACATCACTTTTTCCCTGTAATAATTTTTCACGGATCGCATCTAAATCTATGTGTTCTATAAACAGCATGTTTGCTTGTATGTCTGCTAACTCATTTTAAGTTAGTTGGGAGTATTAACGTCCTGCGCAACAACTCAATGCTCTAAGTTGGACTGTACCTGATTATAGTATCGTGTTATACTATAAAATATATTCAAAATGATAATGATATTCTGGTTTCCATGATGAATTTATTATTACGTTTTTGACCTTTGGTAAAGGTCCCTGTATTGCCTGCATAATTCGGATAATGAATCAACAAATATAACAACGTTTATAGGTAGGACATATTGTATCTATAGTTAAGCGAAAATAAGTTCACATATAAAAAATGAAAAGTAATTTTCTAATCTATATCCTTCTTTTAATTTTGAATTCAGGTACAGTCAAACATTAGACTGACGAGTGCTGTCCCCTGGTTTGATACCTACTATCGTGAGACAGATTTATCAGTCTTAGTCAAACCTGCGTTAAAGGCCACCTCTATTAAGGATTATGTACCCTTGTGTTGATTCAATGCTAAACATAAGGAAATTTTATAGAAAATCCACAGCCTTTCCGCTTGTACTCTCATATTTGACAATTAGATGCTTGATAGATACAGGATTATTGCATGCAGTGCTAGCAATAATTCCTTTAAAATAAGTTTATAAATTCAGATATTGGTTAAAACAAATATAAATATGGACCAATTCAAGTACACCTTTTAGGGTGCGCTCGACTTTATTGACCCAGCACGAGGTGTTTTGGAATTTAAAGGTTGTTTAGAACTTTTTGTAAACAATAAACGCTAGCTGATTATAGAAAAAACAAGTGAGTAATCTATGTTTAAAATTTTATAACAAAATTCTGTATTAAAGCCTGTGGATTTTCTACAAAAATCTTGGTTTTATTTTCAACAAATTCTCTTTTTCTACTAAATGCAATTAAACTCTAAATAATAATGCTTTACACGAAGTTTCCCCTTGACATATGTACAAAATGGTCCATCTCTTTTATTCATTATATTTGCTGTTTTGATACTACTGCAGTTTGAAAATTTCGTAATTGACAGGCCACAGAAGGGGTCGTCCTCTTCTGTAGTAATATTTATTCATTTTGAACCTCAATTAAAGGTCACTTCTTTCAAAAGGTCAGTTTTTTCTGCCCAAGGGTGGTTGCCTTTATGTGTAATATTTGACTGTTACAGTATTACATACGCAAATATACTTTTGCCACTATTTGAATGTTTAAATCCATCAGTATATATGAGCTGTTTAACATGCTTTTGAGATGTGGAATATAGGCGGTAAAAAAGTGGGAATGCGGGATATAGGATGTAAAATAAATGGGTATGTGTGATATAGGGGGTAAAAAAGTAGGGATGCTGGATATCAGGGGTTTAAAAAAGGGGGAAGTGGGGGAAAACATTACAAAAAAACGCAATTTGGGAAATGAGCACCCAGTGTCACCCCTCATATTTTTGTAGGTAGCTTATATGCTTAGTGTGTAAGGATATCGCCCTCGATTTAAGCTCTGTGTGTTGAGATACTTTTTTGTTATAATGTTGTGTAGCTGAATCTGAATATTAAGTTTGAGTAGTTGTCTCATCGGCTATGGACATTCTCTTTGTATATATCATTTATATCGATAACTTTTTTGTACCGCACAATATAATGGTTTTTGTTTGGATTAAATACGGTTTTAAAAGTACTGATAGTCAAAATCGTGTTGAAAGCTATTATATATACTGCATGGATGCAGATCATAAAGACTAATAAATTAGATTTTAAGATTATATACCTCTATAATTTAAGATTTTCTTCTTTCTCGAAAAATTGGGGGAAGGGGGGGGGTCACTCATTTTAGTCTAAATTTGCAACTGAAGACCCTTTTAGAACCAGGATGAGAATCGCTGAATAGCATGACATTAGTTTTCAATACCACTGTATAAATGTGTAAAGCCTGTGCTTGTATACAGTCTTAAATCTTTTTTGTCGGTTGTGACGCCGTTTATACTTATCAATAACTGGATGCAGATCATGAAGACTTATAATATTAAGATATGCTTTTGTAATTCAAGCTTTTCTTTTTTTCTCGAATAGGTGGGGGGGGGGGGGTACTCATTTCGGTCTAAATTTACCAGTTAAGACGCTTACATGACCAAGATGAAAATTTCTGTATAACTTGACACTGGTTTCATGACCCCTTTGAACAAATTAATGTGTAAAGCCTTCGAGTGTGACGCTGTGTTATAATACTTATTCTACCCGGATTTAAACTATTTTTAAAAAATAAATTTATTTATTTACATGGTTGATTGCACTTTTTACCTGTGGTCGTTTAGATTGAAATCAACACGAATAGAATGGAAACAACACGAGAAACATTGGAATAAATCAATAATATTGTATCATGGCGTATTTCATTTTAAAATCTAGGCCGTGACATTAAACCTGCATTTACCTACCCGTAACTTATGATGATAGCTGACACAATCACAATGGCGGGTATGTACTTACTAAGGCATATCTTATACTTTTTTTCATATTTTATAATTTCTTCCGTTGATTATGTCTGTTAATCTGCTTTGAACTTATATGACAAGTAATAATCAGAAGCATTTATTGATTAGTTTATACTGGGACTATTGTACTAAATATCCCTGGTTTATAAATAGAAAAGTCAATACCTTTTCAATCAACTTCGTTAACTTGTTTTATTAAAGCTCGCGCAGTTATTTTTTTTTTATCTTTAAACAGAACAACAGAAGACGTTTTTTTGTCGTTTTATAAAGTCGCAACCCTCATCATTTACCCTCAATAACCTAAACTGGGTAATTTTATAAACCTGCAATTGTGACAGAACTGAATATGTCTGCTACATTTTACGTTACCAAATCTCGTCAGACGAACTAATCTATACCCGGTACACATTTGTACTTTCAAAATATGTAAAATACGCGACGACATTTCTTGATAAGGTTTACAAGTGTGTACTACATACGTTTGTAATTTCAATACAATGTGATCAAATACCCGTAACGTCGTTTATACATGTACTATAGTATTGTAGACAGGTTTGTTTGTCAATCTTCACTTCACGAATCACTTGGTATCTATTATAATTACACCTTATGTAAGAATCCTGGGTTTTGATTGGTTGATAGCCAGTGTATTTTTCACCAATTTACTTTTATCAAATGAATATCGTTCATTTTTAAACAGCGCCGGGGTATATGCAAAAAGGATATGCCTTTTTTACCCTCTCTGCCGTGGTATTTGCCAAAAAATACTCTATCCGACTGGACGCTTGTAATGTCACGATCATCAATGCGTTTTATGTCACGATCATCAATGCGTTTTGTACGTTAACATTCGGTGTAATTAAACAGATATAGCATGTTCTTGAGGGGTATTTGCGAAAAATACCAGTCTTGAGAATGAATTTCCCTCGCCTTACGGCTCTCGAAATTTAACATTCTCAAGACTGGTATTTTTCGCAAATACCCCTCCTTAACATGATATATTTGTTCAATAATCATTGGCTCCTAAAACGTGACTGCTGGCATCATGATCACTGGCATATAAAACTGTATGGTAGTGTAACTAGGTCGTGACAAGACGTGTAAATGTTGGTTCATTTGTCTGAAGAGGTGGTTTCATAGTATACTAAGACTGACTATTTTGGACTGACTTGTATAAGATATAAATAAAGATATTCTAGTGAGATAATTTATTTGTATAAGATCCAAACAAACTGATTGCTACTAAATAACACGAATAAACAATAAACAATGCAAATATGTAACATTTACCAAAAAAATAGTTTTAAAAGATCAAAGTTTGTTTCTTTTATTTGATTTTTCTTCTTACTTATCTTAAACGTTAGACAACATGCCTCTCCTCAAATTTAGAACAGTAAAAAAGAAGACATGCTGCTTACCGCTACAACATTTTTAAGGATATATTATGCCTCGTTCACACGTACATTTAATTCGAATTGAATTCGAATCGAATGCGAATCGAATTCACTAATTGCGTTCACACACTCTTCTTTTTTAATTCGAATTGATTCAAATTGGCTAAATCGCATTATCCAATTCGCATTACAAATGCGTTTTTGTTAATACGAATTAAAACTTAACGTAGTTCGGACAGTAAAGCGAATTTGACGCGCATTGCAATTCGAATTAGAATTTATGTTTGGACGTAAAACGTTTCGAATGCGAATTAAACTAATTCGAATTAGTTAATGCGAATCGAATTCGAATTACGAGTGAACGCAGCATTAAAAAAGAAAACATAAAACCAACAAGTAAAATTCCAGTCCACGCACAGTTGTTCGTGTTGTTTCTGTAGTTATGCCAATATGTCATACTCATCACTAGAAAAAAAAAGAAGAAGAATTCGTTACTCATTGAAATAAACTAAGAACAATATCTGAAATTTCTTTTAACATTTTCATTCAAAACGCATCAATGCTTGATGAACACAATAAGAAGATTGCGTTTTTCTCTGATCAAGATATTAAGAACCATATTTTTTATTTAAATGATCATAGAAGCTTGTCTTTGTATTTTTTGTTTTAAACGAAGAATTTAAATAATATGATCTATAGAAATAATTTTGAAAAACCAATTACAAACATTTCATTAATTTGGGACACAGAATGATGTTATTCTAAAATAGCCATTGGCACTTTTTGTCCGATTACAATACCAGGAAATCTTACCCTTGTGGTCATTCATGCATAGTTACTACGGTAACGGATAGCTTATGGAACAGTTTACAGGCGGAAACCCAGTTGAAATTAAACAAAAGAAATGGAACTCTTTGTAAGAGAAGGTAAAAAAGCAAAATTAGTATATTTGAACTGTTTACATCTGTTTCTATGGGTTTTAAAAGTTTAAAAATGATGCATAATTTAGGATTTTATGCATCTTATATAAGTGTATTTACTTGAATTTTAGTATGAACCTTCGAGATATTTTAAAAGTTTTAAATTAAAGACAAATTTTCATAAAACAGTCGATTGTGGCAGGTTCAAATCGAAGTGGATCTTTTTTGTGCATAAGCATAAATTTCGTCGAAAAAAAATCCACAGATGGATAATAGATTGATCTTTCAAAAGCACAATTTGCGTCTCTGTCCCCGTCGATAGATTTTTGGGGGGAAATTCCCAAAATGGGCAATATTTGCATCGAAAAGAGAAAGTCGAGTGCACTTTTTCATGTTCAGGCGTGTTTGAGTTGACTAATTCTGTCTTGAAAACGCATAAAGCAAAAATATTTGATACATCATCTCGCTTCATATTCTATTATTTTTATATATTTAGGCTACATGTTGATTTAATAACATTAAAAATTCACAGTAATAAAAAATGAAATATATGGGTCTAGTGAATTAGTAATACCTTTCTAATGAGTCATAAAAACAGAATAGGTGTGTTCGAATAACAAATTTTTACTAAAAGTACATGACGACGGACTTTTCAACTGGATCTTAAAAATGCATAACTTCAAAAAAACTTCGTTTTTTGTGTGTGTTTTCTAGGGTTATTAGTCTTCACCCTCTGAAAATTTTTAGTCTGCCCTTCCACGAAATATTTAATTAGAATTTTTTTAAATGTTTTCCACCTGACAACCGATCAGACAATAGTTTTAAGTTGACTGAATGCAGAAAAGTACATAAAATTACGCTCAATAGCTAGTAGATACATTTGTCTTTTAAAATACAATTGGCATATAAGGATCGTAATGGTGCTATGTGGATAAATTTGTCGGTTTTCAAGAGCTAAATTGGCAGCGCGTCATCCCTACAATGGCTTCCATTTTTATGATTGTAAAAATTGACTGGCGTAATGGGGAGATAATTTTGACGAAGTAGATTCCTGACTGTATATAGTGTCTCATAAGTCAGTATTTATGGCTGGATATTGATTGTTTTATGTGTAAATGTCATAAATATTGTAGATGTTTTATGGCAATCAATATGTGACACTTTAATAAATAAATTTATTATTATTATTGATTATTATATACTTTTAGTTAATTAAGTTTATGTCATTTAAAATTACTCACTAGTGTCACGGCTGTCATATTTGTTCAGTTAGTGACTGTGAATTACCAGATTTTGAGTTTTATCACTAATTGGGAACTCGACGGTTTCTATATAATCAAACATACATGTAAAAATTGGTGATTTTGAAAAGTACTTGACTTCAGATTTAAAAGATGGTAACTGTTAGTGTAGGTATGTATATTTAGATAAAGAGATGTCTACTTCTTTGCATGTTAAGGTGATTAAAAACAGGCACTGTGACAGATAGTTTAGTGGCAGTTAGAGATATAATTATGTGGCCCAAAGATTGTCTAGCGTTTAGGCATTGAAAAAAACTATTAGTTATAAGATTACAAGTGACATTTTTACAAAATAGACAAATCCTCGTCAAATCAAGTTACTTGAATTTCTTCACACGGTTTAAGAGTCATACTTTTTTATGTTCAAAGTAACTGTGTCAACGTATATTTGTTCCGCCTAACAGAAGATCCCATGGAAACTGTTATAAACAATGCCATTTTATCTGTTACTTAGCTACGATTTTGACAAAAAAATTAAAACACGATTTTCTTTTCATTCAAACATTAATTTATAAAAGCGGAATGGTGAAATAATATTTTCCTATTAGCGGTCAGTTGTTTTAATATATTGGGTTTTGGAGTGTATGCTGACGCGGGTATTTACACCAAGCTAAATGTTACAGTAGACTGTACAGCGTTGAATTGGTCGAAAGTAGTACGTCGTTGAGCCATCTAGTAAATCAACATCGAAGATAACGGGTAAAGAGGAGCTTACCGAGCACGTCCGTTCAGCTGTAATGACTGAGACGTGACTGGGGTGTAATCTGAATGCGTATGCGTATGCATCCGACATTCTATTTAACCCTCAGCTGGAGATTGGTTACGCATGTGTAAAGCATGTTCAGAACGTCAACATTGAAAGTGAAATTAGGGAGCAACGGGGAAAATGCATTTCGTTGACTGATCTTGCACACACAAAATTTAAAAGGGTAAGGGTTCATGCATCAATTGCCAAAGTCTTGTTGCAATTCACAACTGCACTTTATTTTGGGGTATATTGAGTATGACCATATGAAACGGTCAAAAACACTATGAAGCACATATTGTTGTGTGTTTTTGCACATGATCTGATTAGGAACATCCAGGATCTTTAAAATGCATGGTAGCAACATATTTTAATGTAAATCTGAAATGTCATCGTTATATTTGTATCCTCAATCAATGTAAATAAATGGTTTAAACTGAGTTATTGAACTAGTCAGGGTTCTCGCCAAGGATTAAACTGAGTAATTGAATTAGTCAGAGTTCTCACTAAGGATTTTTTAAAGCGATTCCTATGGAGGGAATGTCCGCCATAATGATACATTTCTTAATTTGTGAAATGCAGTTTCTTAATTTGTGAAATGCAATTTCTTAATTTGTAAAATGTAAATTTCTTTATTTGTAAAATGTAAATTTCTTTATTTCTAAAATGTAAATTTCTTAATTTGTAACATGTATTTTTTCCATCCGTTACATGAATTTCTACATTTCTTAATTTGTGAAATGTAACTTCTTAATGTGTAAATGCAATTTCTTATTTGTTAACGTATTTTCTTCGTTCGTTACATGAAATTCTACATTTCTTAATTTGTGAAATGATATCTTTTTATTTGTTCAATTAAATTGCTTCATTCTCTGTCGTAACTATGAAATCATAAATTTCTTAATTTGTAAAATGGAATTTCTAGGTTTGTATGGGACGTATATTTGTTTTTCAATCGAAATAAAGTTTGTTGAAACAAAACGGCAATGTGGAATGATAAAGTACATATTGTGTCTGACCATCCTACAAAATATCAACAAAATCCAACAGCCAGTCTAAGAAGAGTTGCGTCCGTAAAGTGTTCCTGTAGTTTCAAATGCACTAAAATCTCTGAATCCAATAACTCCAGTAAAATTTGTCGAATCAAAACCGCAGTATGGAATGGTCAAATCGATATAATGTGTAAAACTATCCTACAATATTTCAGTAAAATCAACTTGCCGGTGTCAGAGGAGTGTCTTCCACAAAGTACCCGAGACAGACAAACGCATGGATGGACAGACAAACGGACGGACGCAGACCATTTCTAATTCCCTCCATCACATTGCCGCGGGGGACAAACATCTGTTTGTTCCAAAGATTTTTATTGATTAACAATCATTTTTAATACAGATTTTCATCAATTAAGGATATGAAAATATTGTTTCATTTACAAGTTTTTACAAATCACAGAGGCTTATTTTCAAAAGTTCTACTTACAATTTATTTTTCATAATATAGACATATCATTTCGTAAAAAAAAATATGTATTTATTGATCAACAGTAAACAGTTTACAGAACCTATATCGCTTATCTATTTTTCGGACTATGTGCACAGCGTAGACCTTCTTTTCAAAAGTTGACTGAAATACCCCAAGAATATTGTATTGAATATTTATATGTGCCTAAGATGTTTTAGAATCTATTCAATTTATTGTCCCCTGTTACCATGGAGCCGGGGACATAAAAATGCTAGGGATCTGTCTGTACGTCTGTCCGATGCCCATTGTAAGCACTCAGCTCTACTTTTTTTACAGATTTTTATTATACATGTTTTTTATAATATCTGGTATATATAAGTTCAGGACCTTTGATTTTTTGGCAGAATAATTGCCCTTTGAACTTTGACAGGCGGGGGACATTATAGCACTGTTCTTTTTTGTTAAATTTCCTAAATATTAGGATTTTTGTTTCTATCAAAATGGCATCTATCCTATGCTTTTGTGTATGTGAAAGGCAGACAACATTACTGAATTTTCTATACCCCTTCACTGTACTTCCAAGAAAAATCAAGAAGCGGCTTCTTCATTTTTCTTGGAAGTACAGTACATACACGTGAGCATGTTTTTGGTATAGCAAAAAGAATGACTAAAATTTTGATTTGCTATTATTGAATTTTTGAACCTATAAAGCAACTTGAATCACATTGTAATCACATTTATTTAACCTTAAAAAGTAGAAAACTAGAAGACACACCACAATTAAGTGTTCATAAGTGTGCTTTCAAAATATAAAAATCTATTTCAAATATATTCTTTTTTATTTATAATGTATAACTTTAACCCTTTCAAGTTCCGCCAAATTAGACCTAAATTTATGGAAAAGACACTATCCAAATTCAATCGAATATAGCATTCGCACCAAAGCTCACATAAAGGTCATGTCAGTGCATGTATTTATTACTAAACTGTCTAGATAGGGACAGAAAATTAGGACACTTACATATTTTGTTTTAAATTTTACAAGTCGTAGTGAATAGCTTGTCGACATTGTTTATGTCATATCCTCAGTTAATCCAACAGAACAGTACAATATTATATTATTATAATATTGAATATATATGTAGGACTCTAAAGTGCGATGGTCACGCTAAAATGCGATGGTCTACGCTAAAGTGCGATGGTGCCAGACGCTAAAGTGCGATGGTTGTTTGATTTTTAAAGCGCGATGATGTGACAAGGTTTGAAAGTGCGATTATATGACATGCTAAAGTGCGATTTTATAACATGCTAAAGTGCGATGGTATAGCAATAAGTTCATGCAATTGTTTTTTTTTTTTTTTTTTGTTTTTGCTGTGTTCCTATTAATTTCTTTGTTGATTATAAATCATGCCGTTGTCTTTCTCTTTTGAAATGTTTTCTACTGGTCATTGTATGGCCCTATATGACTTGCTATGCGTCGTAGGCTAAGACTCCACGTTGATGGCCGTACAGTTATTAGTTGCAACATTAACGACATTTGGTGTTGGGTGGATAGTTGTCTCATTGACAGTTATATCACATCTTCTTATTTTCATTTAATGTACGATAGTTGTTAAAAAAGTGAAATGATTACATCGCAGTAGGTAGTATTAACTTTATGAACCCGTTCCAAGCCAATAAACCTATAGCTGTAATTCAGTGGTAGTTGTTTTGTTGTTGCTGTATTTCATATTTGTTTTTCGTTTATTATTTTGTATATAAATCAGGCCATTATTATTCTCGTTTTAATTGTTTTACACTGGTCGTTTTGAAGCCCTTGTAAACAAAAATTGTCCGAATTAAGTTAACCTCTTCCAGAACCGACCAAAAATGTTCCGGATTGGGGTCATTTGGTTTCTTTTTTCTTTTTTCTTTCATATGACTTATGATAAGTCAATGGTATTTGGTATGCAGTTGTATTAGTATTGGCACATCTCATTTCCATGGAGATTGTTCAGCCGTTTACCTTCAGTCATGGTTCATTCACTTTGAATCTATGCATTGCTTGCATGTTAAAAGTATTGCTATTTTAATTTCAACATTGCATGATCGAAATAACAAAAAGGCGAGACATATCTCTGTGTTCATAGGTTATTCTTGAGAACTTCTCATTGGCTGGCAGTGAAAACAATGACACTGTCATATTCTCCAAAAAACGTGACTCGAACAAAGAAATTACTTTTCAGCAGCCAATTTTGTTCAATTTTGTCTAACCATTGCTGATGAATTATCCACTGGTAATTGAGTAATTCGACCTCATTAAATCCGTATTCATGTGACCTTCAATTTAACCCCTTAGCTGGAGATGGGTTACGCATGTTGACTGATTGGATCCACAAAATATCATTCTTATACAGGTAAAAACGATGATAAGCATTCTGTTTAACCTACAAAATGAAATCAAACAGACCGAGAAAAATCCAATTGCACGTGGTTTCTATATATTTATATTTACGTTTATATTGGGATATATGACCGTCGGCAGTCTTCGGAGGTCATCTCGATGGTTTCACTTGATTAGATGGCGTCTAAACAAAAATATACATGCAATGTTCATTCACATTTCATTATAACTTAAGATTAATTTTGATCGTAAGATTTTTTGAGAAAAGAGTCGCAATCTAGCTGTTGAATTATTCATTTCATGAATATTCATTAGTAATGTGCATATAAATCTAAATGTGTACTTTTGATATCTCAGTGTGTAATTTCAATTCTCAGTTTGTAATTTTCATTTCTCAGTGTGTAAATTTCAATTCTCAGTGTGTGTTTTTCATTTTTGTTAATCTCAGTATGTCTTTTTGAAAGCTCAGTGTGTAAATTTTAATTCTCAGTTTGTGTTTTAAAGGTTTTAAATCTCAATGTGTTTTTTTTAAATCTCAGTGTGTGAATTTTTCGAAACATAGTTTTGACGAGAATGTTTTGCCATATAATAGAGGAGTTAAATACCTACATGGTTTGTTGCTGTATATCATATTTGTTTTTTGTTTATTGTTTTGTACAAATCAGGCCGTCAGTTTTCTCGTTTGAATTGTTTTACATTTGTCATTTCGGGACCTTTTATAGTTTACTTTGCGGTTTGGGTTTTCTCATTGGCAAATCACACCACATCTTTATATTTATATATTAAATGACCATTTAAGGTCAAACATATTTTTATCTTCCTTTTTTTAATTTCAGGTAATAACGATTTCGGAAGATTTGTAATATTGAGTTTGACCTTTGGATGCTGTTCTATTTTGTTTTACGTCTACACACAACAGGATTTAATCCACAAATTTGCAAAAAACTACTTAGTCACGATAAAACATTCTTCAAACGAAGCACAGTTAACAGGAATAAACAATTATACGATTTCTGTAAAGCCGTTAGAATTACAAAGTACAAAACCGATCAATAATTATGTAACTATGAATTTTAAAGGTCGTCTAGGAAACGAAATTTTTGAATATGCATCATTGTATGGTATAGCTAAACATAATCAGATGATACCTGTTGTTGACGATAAATTTCACCTAAGGAGAGTTTTTAAGATATCTATCACTTCAGTAAAACCATTGGCAAATATAAAACGCTTCCACGAGGCGAAAGCATGTGCATTTGACGAAAAGGCTTTCGTCTTGGACAAGAACTATAATTGGACACTTTCAGTATACCTTCAAAGTTGGAAATATTTTATTGATTATAGTAATGATTTAAGAAAAGAATTTCGTTTTCAAGACTCTATACAGACTCAAGCGGTACAAAAGTTTAATGACATTGTGAAAGCTAGAAATATAACAGACAAATACAAATTAACATATATAGCTGTTCACGTTCGTCGAGGAGATATGATGAATAATCGAGCTAATGTCAATTTAGGGTATACAATCGCAGACATAAGTTACGTTAAAAATGCAATGTCATGGTTCCAGGAAAAGTATTCCAGTGCCTTTTTCATTTTTGCCTCAGATGACATAGCTTGGTGTAAAGCTAATTTCAATAAAACAAACACAGCATTTATAACTCAAAGACATTCTCCAGAGGTTGACATGGCAATACTTTCACAGTGCAATCATTCAATAATTACAACTGGAACTTATGGTTGGTGGTCAGCATGGTTAAGTGGCGGTCAAACCATCTATTATAAAAATTTTCCAAGAAACGGATCAGGACTCGCAAGATTGTTTGATTCAAAAACATATTTCCCACCAAACTGGATAGCTATGTAACATTTATTATATATTAAACTAAGCATTGTTGTTTGTTGAATAAGTGTTATTTTCCGTATTACGATTTAAACAAAAAACCACAACAACAAACTCACCCTCACACACATACACACACATTACGAAATATATCATTTATTATCCAGAAATATTACAGTTGCTACAAATTTGTGGATATGTTACAAGGAGAATTATTTTTAATCAAACTGGAAAACAAACTATAATGCCTGGTGAAAAAGAAATATGTTGGATTATTTATCCTGTAAAGAGTCCCTGTAAGACTATGACATTTCCTGGTATGACTATGAGGTTAAGATTTGGCCATGGAATAGTGCTTAATCTATGTATTTCTTTTATGTTTCCTCTGAGCGTTCTTAATTAATGTTTATCGATAAAGAAAACTATGCAATTGTCACTTTCGAGATTCATAAGACAAACAAAATTCACTTATTTCATTGACTTTGATATTTTTTTCAAATCGAAACATATCCTATTATGTGCTATCATTACGATAGATACAAAAGAGAGGCGAAAGATACCAAAGGGACATTCAAACTCATAAGTCGAAAATAAACTGACAACGTCAAGGCAAAAAAAGAAAAAGATCAGAAGACAAACAACAGTATACAAACGCAACATAGAAAACTAAAGACTGAGCAAAATGAAGCCCACAAAAACCAAACAAAACCGGGGCTGATCTCAGGTGTTCCGGGAGGGTTAGCAGATCCTGCTTCACATGTGACATCCGTCGTACAATACAATAGGATTTACTTCACCTATTCCTATTCAAAACGTTTTGTTTTTGTTTCGATAGCCATGGAAATACAATGGATTTTGTAGTAGTGTAAAGCAGAATTTGATCTGTGTTATCTGTAGCATCTGCAGTACCGACAGCCGCCGGTAAAAGGATGTGCACAATCTCTATACAAAAGTATAAGGGCTTCAGTTCAGTCACACAACATCAAGAAACGTTAGACTATAGAAACTGCTTTGTGGATAAAAAAAAAGCTTAGATAGTCAAAAGTTCTCATTCAGAGGAAAAACAAACGGTAAACTCTATATCGTTATTGATTTAAAACACGTCACATTAATAGATGTTTATAAGATCGCTCAAAATTGAAAAATCCACAACGAAACATATTCAGATCTTGTAAGATGATGGATCATAGAAGAATAATTTTAATCACGAGAAAAAAGTACAATTAAATCAAAATAATACTTCACATGTAGATCATGTTTTGACATCTCGATTCTTGTTTACATTTGGTCGACGATTGAGAAAAGGGACTTTTCTTCGTTAAGAATATATCAAATTGGTAATTTTATCATGCTTTTTTTTTTTACGTTAAAGTAAACAACCTCGATATAAACATTTAAGGCAGACAATTTGCCCCAGCTTCAGTACAAGATTGAAAGACACAAAGGCGAGAAAAATCCTTTATAGAGGTTTGATCAGTATCGATAAACAGGTTTGCTCATTGCAACTGTAAAATATCAGTTGCGAGTTAAAGTATAAAACTGAGAATAAAGTATGTATATTTTTATCGAGTGAGCGCAGCAAACGAGCTAAAAAAAACTTCATAGTGTGCCGAGCAACTGATTTTGCACAATTTCAATATTATGAAAATATGGTGATCGATTGATCGGATTGTATTTGTGACGGAAACAATGTTACCAGCAAACCGGAAAACAAACTGTACATATATTTTGGCCTCGTCAATTCATAGATGTAAGCCATTGAAAATTTGGCGGCAAATGATTCTCTCTAGATTTTTCACACAACGTTTACACCTTTTTCTTTTTTCTCAGCAAACATTCTTAAAAAATAAAATATTCATTGTCAGCATTTCCTTGATTTCTGTGTTGACATGAATTATCATTGATATGGTCATTATCATAAATTAACTGTTTACAAAACTTAGAATTTTTCGAAACACTTAAGATTTTCTTATCCAGGAATATATTACCTTAGCTGGATTTGGCAAAAACTTTCGGAATTTTGGTTACTCAATACTCTTCAACTTCGAACTGTATTTGACATGTTTAACTCTTTAATTTGAGCGTCACTTGTGAGTCTTTTGTAGACGAAATGCGCGTCTGGCGTACCAAATTTTAATCCTGGTATCGATGATGAGTTTATTATTAAAGATAACTTAAAGGCTTATGAATAACACACTGTACATATATTTTGGCACCGTCAATTCAAAGATCATGAAGGATTAGGCCTATAAACCTGTCAAATAACACACTGTACATATATTTTGGCACAGTCAATTCAAAGATCGTGAAGGATTAGGTCTATAAATCTGTCAAATAACACACTGTACATATATTTTGGCACCGTCAATTCAAAGACCATAAAGGATAAGGCCTATAAACCTGTCAAATAACACACTGTTCATATATTTTGGCACAGTCAATTCAAAGATCATGAAGGATAAGGCCTATAAACATGTCAAATAACACACTGTACATATATTTTGGCACAGTCAAAGGGATAAGGCCTATAAACCTGTCAAATAACACACTGTACATATATTTTGGCACAGTCAATTCAAAGATCATGAAGGATAAGGCATATAAACCTGTCAAATAACACACTGTACATATATTTTGGCACAATCAATTCATAGATCATGAAGGATAAAGCCTATAAACCTGTCAAATAACACACTGTACATATATTTTGGCCCAGTCAATTCAAAGATCGTGAAGGATTAGGTCTATAAATCTGTCAAATAACACACTGTACATATATTTTGGCACAGTCAATTCAAAGATCATGAAGGATAAGGCCTATAAACCTGTCAAATAACACACTGTACATATATTTTGGCACAGTCAAGTCATAGATCATAAAGGATAAGGCATATAAACCTGTCAAATAACACACTGTACATATATTTTGGCACAGTCAATTCATAGATCATGAAAGATAAAGCCTATAAACCTGTCAAGTAACACACTGTACATATATTTTGGCACAATCAATTCAAAGATCATGAAGGATTAGGCCTATAAACCTGTCAAATAACACACTGTACATATATTTTGGCACAGTCAATTCAAAGATCGTGAAGGATTAGGTCTATAAATCTGTCAAATAACACACTGTACATATATTTTGGCACAGTCAATTCAAAGATCATGAAGGATAAGGCCTATAAACCTGTCAAATAACACACTGTACATATAATTTGGCACAGTCAAAAGGATAAGGCCTATAAACCTGTCAAATAACACACTGTACATATATTTTGGCACAGTCAATTCAAAGATCATGAAGGATAAGGCCTATAAACCTGTCAAATAACACACTGTACATATATTTTGGCACAGTCAATTCAAAGATCGTGAAGGATTAGGTCTATAAATCTGTCAAATAACACACTGTACATATATTTTGGCACAGTCAATTCATAGATCATGAAGGATAAGGCATATAAACCTGTCAAATAACACACTGTTCATATATTTTGGCACAGTCTATTCAAAGATCATGAAGGATTAGGTCTATAAACCTGTCAAATAACACACTGTACATATATGTTGGCACAGTCAATTCAAAGATCATGAAGGATTAGGTCTATAAATCTGTCAAATAACACACTGTACATTAATTTTTGCACCGTCAATTCAAAGATCATGAAGGATTAGGCCTATAAATCTGTCAAATAACACACTGTACATATATTTTGGCACCGTCAATTCAAAGATCATGAAGGATTAGGCCTATAAATCTGTCAAATAACACCCTGTACATTTATTTTGGCACCGTCAATTCAAAGATCATGAAGGATTATCTGAAAATCTATCAAATGGTATTGCTCGTTTGAAGACATATTTTAAGGAAGTTCGCTGCTCCTGTTTTTGACTTTTTGTCTGATATCGGAATCCATTGGTTCTATCCACTACGGCTGCAGGATGTTAAATCGTACATTTTCATAACCTACTTGAACTTAATTGATTTAGTAAGTAAAAAAGACCCGAAAATAAATGGAGGGGAAATATATTCAACTGCAACTAGAGTTTCTTATCTAAATGTATAACAAGATTACCTGTTTAGTCTCTTTATTTTACACTTCACATTGAAGGTCGCTAAAGCCTAAAGACTGTTTTACTATAGCACGCAATGAAACCTTCGAGATACTTATTTGTGTGCTCGGGTAACCTCAAGATACTGAAATCACCAAGAAGAAACTTAGAGAAGGCATGATAAAGCCACTTGTTTGTCCTTTTAATTCAAAAAAGAACTTTAAATATATCAAATATTATTTCATCTTTCAAATTTGCAATAAGACGTAAACGTCTTGCATATACTGTAAAAATGCAAAAACTTTCAAAGGACAAATACAGATGTTTCGTATCCCTTTCTTCACGTCACACACAGTATAAGAAACACATATTCAACATTAATCTCTTTCGTCGTAATTAGGCAACAACCTTTGTAGATAATATTTCTTAAAAATGCCTGCTTTCTTCAGAGTCTCTTTGTTTTGCTTAATAATGTCTGCCTGGGATCTTTTAACAATTTTGTGCTTTATCTCCACGTTCTTATTTTGATTGTCTTTTTTCTTCATTAATTCCAATTTTAACTTTCTGTCTTGTTTTTCTTTTCTTAATCTAAGTACTTCCACCATTTCATGTTGCCTTTTGCAAAACTTAGCGACTTGTGGTCGTTTCATTAAAACCACTTCATTTGCCACAGTATAGTTAAACTCATAGGGGAGACAATCTAAATTTCCGGTTTGAAAATAGATAAAATCTTGTTGAAGATCATTTAGCACGTGTTCATTGTATTTTGGATCGGACAAGTTTGTATTCCATTTTTCCGCTGTCCATGAACCTAAATCTACAGTTTGGTGTATAGCTGTTATAGCATCAGAAGAATCAATTGCAGTGTGGTTGAATTCGATTGCATTTATTAAAATCCAATTGTCTATTCTCTGTTTTCCCACAACAATTGGTGGCAGCATATCCCACGTATAGTAAGAGTCAGTAATGAAGTAATCCTGACCCATTGGTGAATGTCGCTTAGAATGATCCAATTTCATTTGTTTTATTTTATCTGAAGACGAAAAATCTTTTGTTGTAATATTTTCAACGTCATAACGAGAACCAGATATAAATATTTCATTTCGTTTTTCAACAAATGGTCTGTATTTTTCCATAAGATTTAAAGTCCGAGCTAAGTCGTCGTTGAAAAGAATATCTGCGTTAGCATATCCAACATACTTAGACCGAAAGTGTCTACTAATAGCTGAAAAGAAACTTTTTATAACCGGAAACCCTTCCGACATGACATCAACAACGGGAAGCACAACCCACCCATTATCCTCAAACGTTCTTTTTACTTGAGTATATTTAGACTCTAGAAAGAGTACGGGTAACACATCTGATCCCAGACTATTCCAATTATTCCTAGTATTGTTATGAACAATTTCTCGATCTCTTGAAGGTACAAATGTTGTACACAAAACCAGAAGCCATGTTTTTGTATTATCTTCCCTTGTTTCCCTATGAACATGTCCAGTGGTAAATACATAAATCACAACTAAAAGGGGCAATGACAAGATCCAAAATGCTTTATTAATGGAAAGAAGTACTCTGGCCGCCCTTTGAAATGCGTACACCTACAACAAAACAAAAAAAGTAAAATTATTAGTAATTTTAGTTACTAGTAACATTTTATTCAGTTATCTATTTGAAAGTCGATATTTATATAAAACCTTAACCGGTAATGAAACAAGAGCTCATTTGTATAGACCTAATAACCGACTCAGAATTTGAACGCATGTACAAAATATACTGAGAATTTACCAGGTTTCGTACATTAGTAATCTTTTTTAAATTGATTTAACATGATAGAACGATTCAAATTAATAGTAAAACTGCTATAAATGCATACGGTTTAAATTATGTTCTATTAAATGGTGACTTTTTCATGAAATGTTGTCCCCTGGATCCACCGTATGAATAATCAGATAATCGGAATAAAATCCATAGTAATGCTATGGGGGCAATTTCTTTGACTTTTTTGATTGGTCAATCGATCTTCTGATTTTTATAACTTTGAAAACATATTCTGTTTGCTTCGCTTGTACGTGTCTATTATGGATATGATCAATCAATTACTACGTATAGAACAAATTTAATTTTCATGGATCGATTATGTATTCATTCATGATAACATATTAAGATATGTCTACAATACAGCGCAAATGCAACTGGTGTTCAAGAAGAAATTTTAAGGCATTAGTCTTTTCATCACAGTTAACTATAAAAATGAGAAGATGTGGTATTATTGCCAATGAGACAACTCTCCAGAAGAGATCAAATGACACAGAATTTAACAACTATAGGTCACCGTACGGCCTTCAACAATGAGTAAAACCAATACCGCATAGTCAGTCATTAAAGGCCCCGAAATGACACTGTAAAACATTTTAAACTAGAAAACTAATGGCCTGATTTATGTACAAAATAATGAACGAACAAAAATATGATATACAGCAACAAACGACAACTAATGAAGTACAGGCTCCTGACTTGGGACAGGCACATACAGAATGTGGCGAGGTTAAACATGTTAGCGGGTGACCAACACTCCCCTAACCTGAGACTAGCATATTTCACGTTTTCATTACAGAAGGCTTAATATGAGTTGCAGTAAATAAATTTGCAACCAGATTTTTCAAGGACCATTGAAGACGAAGAACAACAATAAAAGCGCTGTTCCTTTGCTTTTTGTGTGTGTGTTTGCTGTGCAAGTACTGATTTTGTGTCATGGATGGATATTCCTTATCCTTTGTTTTTCTATTTAACTAAATAAGAGAACTTCCCATTGATAAAACTGTGTTGTAGTGTAGTGTATTGAGTCGAAAAATAATAACTGTCAACTGAATTGAACGGACCATTAAAAGCACGTTATTTATCCAAAACATCCGAGGAGTATTTGACAACCCAAAAACACTTAATTCCATTATTTTCATATGGTTTATTACAAAAGAATAACTAGTTCTTTGAAAGAAGTAAGGGAACTAGTTAACAGTACAGAAAGATTAGTTGTAGAACACTTACTGCGATGAAACGAAGTTTGAACGGGTCTTTGTGTAGTTTAGGGAGCCAATACACAGTAGGCGACTTTCAAATTTTCTGAGGAGCCCTTAAACTGTGTTGTGGTAGTGAACATATCATTTACTACTTGACTTTCTCTGGAGTGCACGGCACTAAGGACTAAGTCTTCCGTGTAGTATTTACGTCCTACAACCACTATATCACATAGTACAGAGGTTCAACATAAGTGTAACACTAGTAGACTGTAGAAGTACAACACTGGGTAAGTATAGTTACATTACTTAATATATATATATAAGTACTATATAATCATAAGAAGGCATATCTTGAACCATCGAAAGTCATAGATATAAAGTTTTTTTTTTAATATTTGTCCAAGTCAAAGATTCACTTGTAATCTCATTTTCAAGCACGCTTTGGTACTATATCAATTATAAAAATACGATGCAAAAAATTAGTACTGGCTTTTTTTTTTATAAAACTTATACATACAAGGTTACTAAAGAACGAGAAAATTAATGATGATACATTAAAACGGGCCGACGTTCTCTTGTAAATGGCACATTTTGTAATGACACAAATAACTATCAACAGTTTAAATTAAATACAGGCGCAAGAATGGGGAGGAGAGTTGAAATGCCCCGGAAGGTATGCTCTTCCTTCAACATGCACGTTGTGATACTTACCGAGTGTAATCTTTTATATCGTTTTGACTTTCTTACTGTTGATGGAATATGCTGTGAAAACATGTATCCAATTTAAAGAATTGAAATCATTTTAAAAACAAATTGTTCAAAGGACTTAAAAGTTAACATGGATCGTATCTTAGTTTACGAGCGCTTTAAACAACATGAATGTAAAATTTAGGATGCGATATTTAGTGTGTATTAAATTTCAACAGGTGCAACCAAACTTCAAAACCATTATAAGATAAGAAGATGTGGTATGAAACAACTATTCACAAAAGGCAAAAGGAAAAAGATGTGAAAAACTACAGTTTATTTGTACAGCCTTTGACAATGAGCAAAACTAGTACCGTATAGAAAACTATAAAAAGCCCTGGAATCACAAACTATGCAAAAATTAAAAGAGAAAAACCTATAGAACTATAAAAGAATTTACTTAAGGTTGTCAGTAATCTGTGGTACGAAACCCTTGGCTTAATAATTTATTCATTATACGTAGACTACGTTCATAGAAATCATAGACGTCACAACAGCACGGCCATGTAAACGAGTTGGGAAATATCAACCGTTTAACCAAAAGTGAACGAAAAGGCTACAATAAGAGAACATATTTGTAAGAACATATTTAGAGTTTTCTTTAAAACAAGAACAGTAACGAACACATTTATTCATTGTTTTAATGGACAATATAGGTCTGTTCATATAATAAATTGGAAAATGACAATAAACGGCATATGGAAGATGGATTCTTGTATACCGTCATCGCTCAGGTTATGCAATCTTAAACTCTGTTTCTCCCTTTTCATCTTAATTATCAAAAATAAGCTTTCACAAAACGAGCTAACCTAAATCGGCACAAGGGGAGATCTCTGAAATTTTTGTAAGTTCCTTAAAGTTTATCACAAAATGACAATAAATAACTGTAATCGTATTCTACTGAGAACCCAATCTTTAGATTCCGAATAAAGAGAACACGGATATTCCCGCTGCATAATACTTAAATTGGCACCAAACACTCCATATATTTCCTATGGGAGTCGAACTTCGTTCTCTTTTTGTGTACCACATAACCCCCTTTTTGTAATAATTTCATCCTTTATACCATTCATTTTCTATTCATCACTTCATGCAATCTTTCGTAGCGATATAGCAGTTTCGGCTGACACGACGTAAAGCAGTCACCTAACAATCAATCAATCAGGTACCAGTCCAGCTAAGGCAGAAAACACTAACAGTCAACACAAAATATCACGTGACCAACAGCAAAACAGGCAAATAACCGAGATTGGGCTTGCACGTCAGGATTATTGAAGTGAACACAGTAATACAGATCGAAGCCATTCAAATATATTTAGGAACATTGTTATGGGGATAACTTGTATTCTGACCCGGAAAGTTCTAAGCAAGAAGAATTATGGTGATAACTTTTATTCTGATCCGGAAAGTTCTAAGCAAGAAGAGTTATGTTGATACCTTGTATTCTGTCACGGAAAGTTCTAAGCATGAACAGATTTATGCGGATACCTTGTATTCTGTCCTGCACAGTGGCGAGCGGTGTCTAAAACTTTATGCATTACTTCTGAAAAGATTTTGCCAATAGCTGAGAATGACCAATATGTTCCCAAAGTCGAAGGCCATATTATATCATGAGGTATGCATATTCGACTAAAATAAAGGTTGTCGTAGTCATTTTCTAATTACTTCACCCTCTTAAGATTGATTGATTTTTTGGTTGCTTAAAGTCCAGTTGCAAATATTTCATGCATGCTCTGGACGACGCCCTCTTAAGAGGAATACACTGGAATACAAACAAGATAGTTATTTTCGTTAAGTACAAAGGTTCATTATGCATATAATTTACGTAAATACAATTACTTACCCTCTTTTCTTTTGACATAATCTCACTCTCCATTAACTTGCGTATCATTTTCTTAACTATAAAGATTACAACGTGCAAATAATGTTTCTTCATTCGTATATACTACGAGACTGAAAAAGAAATGTTAAAATGAGATATGGCAATTTTAAAATTGTTTTACTGTCATGTTTCTGTACATTTGTATTTGTAAAGTTTGCATTACATTTAAAAGTGCATACGAAGGTAACGGAGAAACATTTTCTATTTTTTTTTTTTGCATCCGAAATTCTTTTCTAGATTTTTTTTCATCGGGAACACATAAATTTTAACATATAAAATCCAAGGATGTACATATAAGTTTTAAATAAGCAGTGTGAACACTGTTGGTCCATGTATGCCTGTTAACCATAAGTTCTTGGTATCTGTTAAAAGAACATGCTCATAGTTTCTATAGACAACCGTTAATACTTTGTTCCGCCTATGTGTTATATAGCTAAGACATTGCTTGAGCTGGAATCCAATCTATGTTATGTTTTTGTAACTATATGCCTATAAATCATACAAAAGTCCCGTTTATTCCTTTTTACTGGTAAACAGATAATAGAGCTATATTTTCACAACAAAAGTATTCATTGGGAGTAAGTTAAAATAATACAAGTATTGAAATCAACATTTTTATTTTAAGAATGTTCGAAAATATCGAAAAAAAATGTTGTCACATGAACTACTAGTAGTTGTCCTATTGGCAATCATACCGCATATTCTTATCTTTATATTAGAAACTACTGATAACATATACTTCAATCACAATAACAGGCAACATTTAGAGTATCAAAACTAAGACGTTTTATTTCTTAATTACTTACTCGACTTCAAAAAAGAAAATATCATTGAAGCAAGGACCATCATGTTTTACTCATTAAAACAACGAATCGAACATACAGAAAAAAAAATAAGTTCAATGAAACACCCACCGTATATATGTTCCGTCTTTCTCAAATAGACGTGTTTACTGATCTGCTTAGATGACATGAATAACAAAAATCCGGTAGCTCACGGACATTTAGACGTGCATGCATATGTATTTATAAAGTCCGGTTACACATTAATTCGGTCACTGTTCTATAATATATCCTGTGTCACAGTGTAGGAGTACACAAAGATATAAGCTTCTTAATAAATAAAAAGGGGGGAATATTAATTAATGATACTTATATAGTACTAGTATTATGAACTCATCGATGGACTGAGGATGATATCTTGGTGTACATTTAGTAAGATGCATATAAACTGTATATCTGTGAAAATGTATATAAACTGTATATCTGTAAAGATGTATTGTATATACACAGTTAATATATACAGTTACAAATGTACAGTTTATATGCATCTTTGAAGATCTACATATTCATACATCCTCATCTTAACAGATACATAGACAGTTAGTTATGTGCAGCTCAACAGATGTACAGTTTATTTGCATCTCCACAAATGAACAGTTAATATATATTCTTACAAATGTACAGTTTATTTGCATCTCCACAAATGAACAGTTTATATACATCTTTACAAATGTACAGTTTATTTGCAGATGTACATCAACATTGCTTGTACGAAAGTAGCTGCGCAGTATTATGAACGCATCAATGGACTGCAGATCTTATTTTTAGATGTCTAATCATGATAAAAAAATATTACTGTGAAAGTACTTTTGTTCGTGGGGTACTAATTTTCGTGGTTTTTGTGATTGGGTTCAACTACGAATTCAAATTCCCAACGAAAGGTAAAATTTCCATTTAAAACTAAAATGCTCTAATAATATCCACGAATTCAAAAACTCACGAACTAAAGAAATTTTGAAAATCCACGAAAATCGATACCCAAGAATAAAAGTACCTTCACAGTATATGCGATAAAAAGAGACAATTGCATACATTATATTAATTGCATTTAATTTATGAACAGAAAAAGTCCATTTGAAACGGTAACACACTTTTTAAGATAACATATGGTTTTGGAAATGCTGCTAGTAAAGTGAAACTTGTGTAGAACAAACTTCTTGGAATTGAATATTCTGCGACGAACCCTTTGGAGTGAACATTATGATGTATATCAAACCTCTTGGAGTAGACATGATGTTCTAAGACGAACCCTTTGGATTGAATATTATGTTGTATATCGAACCTCTTGGAGTAGACATGATGTTCTAAGACGAACCCTTTGGATTGAACATTATGTTGTATATCGAACCTCTTGGAGTAGACATGATGTTCTAAGACGAACCCTTAGGGTTGAACATTATGTTGTATATCGAACCTCTTGGAGTAGACATGATGTTCTAAGACGAACCGTTTGGATTGAACATTATGTTGTATATCGAACCTCTTGGAGTAGACATGATGTTCTAAGACGAATCACTTGGAGTGAAAATTAGTTGTATTATCGAACCTCTTGGAGTAGACATGATGTTCTAAGACGAATCACTTGAAAGTGAAAATTAGTTGTATTATCGAACCTCTTGGAGTAGACATGATGTTCTAAGACGAATCACTTGAAAGTGAAAATTAGTTGTATTATCGAACCTCTTGGAGTAGACATGATGTTCTAAGACGAATCACTTGAAAGTGAAAATTAGTTGTATTATCGAACCTCTTGGAGTAGACATGATGTTCTAAGACGAATCACTTGAAAGTGAAAATTAGTTGTATTATCGAACCTCTTGGGGTAGACATGATGTTCTAAGACGAATCACTTGAAAGTGAAAATTAGTTGTATTATCGAACCTCTTGGAGTAGACATGATGTTCTAAGACGAATCACTTGAAAGTGAAAATAAGTTGTATTATCGAACCTCTTGGGGTAGACATGATGTTCTAAGACGAATCACTTGAAAGTGAAAATTAGTTGTATTATCGAACCTCTTGGGGTAGGAAAAACCCCTTTGAGTGAGCATTATGTTTATATTAAACAGTTCTTCAGTTGACACCTTTTTGATTGCGAACACAGATTCATTGATTATGCTGATACGAGAGTACACTTTAGACAGGTTTGCAGTTTATGCAGGGTTTGGTTTACACTGTATTGACTGTTTATAAAATACCGTTGAAGCTGAATGCAACTCCCAAATACATGCAATGACCGCGTGTTTCTTTTTCCTCCGTTTATTTCCGTCTTTTTACAATACGGAACTGAATGTTTTCATCCGTATGATACATATTGTTAACTTGACATATAATCGCATATACGTATATATGAGTACGTATTTCCGTCTTAAAATTTTATACATCTTTATTCCTAATAAGAGAGATAAGCAGCGAGACAAAGAGAAGGGAAATAAAGGGGGTCTATTCAATTTCAGCCGGTTAAAAAAGGTATGGACAATCCTATCATCATCAGGGTAAAATTAACAGTCAATTGTTCTTTACTAAAATAACACTAAATTAAATACGTCTTTATGACTTGAAAACATTTTCTGAGAATTCTGAAGCTTTCAATAAATTATGATTGTTTATAGATAGGTCGAAATTGCAATTTTTTATAGATTTTTATTTACAATTTAGGAATTAACAGAATTAAAGAAAAAAGGGCATTATAGATTAAATACAAAATTTTATTGAAAGTAATGCTTTTTACATCGCGATGACCTTGGGGTCATTCAGATGTATTGCTATCGCCTAGATTTCCATTATGTAAATTAGTTTTGGGTTTGTAACCGATCTATAAACATGATAAATATGCGCACATAAACGAATGCAAAATAACATTCCTTATCGTTTGATATAAATACATCTCTTCAATGAATACTGATAAAAATATTTTTGTTTACAACATAAATTAATAATATGAAAATGTTTTGTAGTTAGATATATATAAATAAGTAAAAAATCATTGATAATATCAATGCGGACGTACCGAAAAATTGTGTTAAAGCATGCGGAAGAATATCTCAGAGAACTTTTTGCGAGGACCGGTAACTCTGTAATTGTTTTTGCGGGAAAATATGAATGCCTACTCGTATCCAATCTTAGAAAAATCGAATTTTTACAGAAAAGTGTCCACCATGTATACTGATTTGTATCACTACAATATAATAGTTATTACGGTGAAGTTGAATTTCCTGTCATTTATTCATCATCCACGCACGAACTTGTCTCAGAAAAAAATATATCTCTGTACATTAACCTCAGTTTCAGGTAAAGAGATATGTTGTTTTTTTCTGAGACAAGTGCTTTTGACCATCCTCAAGAACTTGTGGTCATCCGATGTTCAGTACTTCAGTACTTTGATTATAGAATCTTAGAGTAATACAAATAAATTTCTATTTTTTTTTATGATCATATCTACCAACGTTTTCCAGTATTGACTCTGTGTTGAAACAAATACATAGAAAAGTGGACCTACCTCTTTATTTTTTATATTTTACAATAATATTTTGGAGAAAAAAAGCACTATTAATGTATCTGTTTCGATTTTGTTAATTCTCCCCTTTGAATAAAATTGATATAAATATAAGGAGATGTGGTATAATTTGCAATGAGACAACTATCCACCAGAGTTTAAATAAGTGGATATAAGCAATACATGTCACCGAATTGCCTTCATCAAAAAGAAAAATCCACACCGTATAATCGGCTATAAAAGGCACCGACATGAAAAAAAAATCATGTTAATTATATAATAAATTCAAACGAGAAAAACAAGTTGCTTTTTAAAAAAAAAAAGACAATACGTGAACCTTAGAACTTTTTTATTCTAATTATTAATTCAACTGAAAAAGAAATTATATATCAGTGTTATCTTGGCCATGTGTGTGGAGGATAATATTTTCTTTTCGTTGTAAATTGTTACAATTTTGGCATGTTGAGAAAAGGGTTAAATATAAAGCAAGGAGAGAGAAAAAAGATTCCCAGACGTATAATTTCTTAAAGAATAATAATAATTCAAAACATGAATGACACATGTACCTTCTTCCAAAAATGCATAAAATTAATCTAGAAATAATTAATGAGGCATTGCGAACTGGTCAGCTAACAGGACACATTAATGGTCGTTACCGACCAATCATCAATAAGTGTAACTCTCCCTCGAGAGATACTTACTTGATCTAATTATAAATATAAAAAAGAAGATGTGGTATGATTGCCAATGAGACAACTCTCCACAAGAGACCAAATGACATAGAAATTAACAACTATAGGTCACCGTACGGCCTTCAACAATGAGCAAAGCCCATACCGCATAGTCAGCTATAAAAGGCCCCGAAATGACAAATGTAAAACAATTCAAACGAGAAAACTAACGGCCTAATTTATGTACAAAAAATGAACGAAAAACAAATATGTAACACATCAACAAACGACAACCACTGAATTACAGGCTCCTGACTTGGGACAGGCACATACATACATACAGAATGTGGCGGGGTTAAACATGTTAGCGGGATCCCAACCCTCCCCCTAACCTGGGACAGTGGTGTAACAGTACAACATAAGAACGAACTATAAAAATCAGTTGAAAAAGGCAAGATAACTCATCAGATGGATACAAACAGAAATACTACACAGAGTGGACGTGGCCGGGTACTTGTATATCCCAACAACAAATAGACACTAAGTACAGATCTGAGAGTACTCGCAGTTACTGACAGCTAGTTCAAAGCCACTAAAACTAATTAAAAAAATCATGCATCTAATATTAAATTATCAATAAGTACAATCCAACATCCAATTATTGAAGAGGCATAACTTTTACATTCAAGATACAAAAAATTTCATTAATAAAATAGAGTCACACGAGGTAAAAAAAGTATGCATTAATTCTTATTGCCTATGATGTACGTCAATGTACACACGTACATATGATCATTAATAATTTAGAAGAAACTGTTATCAATTCATTAGAACTAATTGACACACAGGGGAACCTAAAGATTCTCAACAAAATAGATTTAACTGCATTTGTTAAATTAATTCTTAGAAACAATGAATTTGAGTTTAATGGACTGTTATACAAACACATTATAGGAGCGCCCATTGTCACCAACATGCAC